ACTGCATCATCTACGAGGATGTAAAGCTCCATTGCACCATCTGAGAAGCCAATGGATTATTTTGAAATGCATGTATTCAAACAGCCGTGCATCAGCAGACAAACAAGTGACCATTTCTGTAAAATTAAAGACTTGGAGGTCATAAATGTTTACAATTTAGCGTATTTGAAGGAAAATCTGAAATCGGTTTGATAAGTAATAAAGAACCTCGCTGTATGATGATATCCAGTAACTCGGTTGTGAAAATATGCGTCACGAATTTCTACCTCAGTAGAAATTATCTGGTGGTAGTTGGTTTTTCACAGTCAGATTTCCAAGCATTAGATAAAAGATCTCATAAATAGGAGATTTCTAATGGTCACTAAGTACTGGAGAACCACTTCATTGATTAATCATTTTGAGAACTTTAGTTAGAATGAAATCAGTAGAAATTGAAGTTGAATTGGCTTAAATGTCAAGATAACTAGTCGAAGTAGCAAGTACAGAGCTTTCTGGCAAGTTTCGGAACTAATCAGTGTTACATGATGCAGCTCAGCTACCTGATACAGAGCTAATTATAAGCCACATTGAGGGAGAACGGATAAGATGAAAGTGGCACGGCTGACTTGCTGAATAAGCTTCAATGCAGAAATGCGCATAGAATGCAGACGAAATGATCCTGGTAGACAAACATAAGCATACATACACTGCACTAATGAGTTAGTGTCAACCTATGAAAATGAGTTAACCCAGTTTGGCTTTCATATATACCTCCGACTTCATCATTTTATTGTGTTATTCCCTTTGACTGTGTACAGGAAATAGTTTGTCATTAGCTTTGTGTATTCGCTTAAATTCAGTGATGTTTGCATTCGTTGCATTCATTGAGGAGCCTATCTCACATGTTGTTCAACAGCCATTTTCTCTGTGTTGAGGATAACATTTACAATGGAAATGATCGAGTGTATATATGACTTTGTGTTAAAATTTAGTTTCATATAAAGTGTGTAAAACGCCATGTTATGGTGTGGTGAGAGCTGTCTGCTAGCCAAATTGGTAGACAGTAATTTATGTCAATGTTTATGTCCCAAATATTTGTCATGTGAAAACAAGAACAAAGACTGACTCAACAACCAATCACAGCAGACTTTGCGTAGGCGGATACAATTTGCAGATAGATGATCTAACATTCAAGAAACAGCGACAAATAGATGAAAGATTCACTTTTAGTGAGAAACAACCAATCAGAAGGCTATGCGTGTGTGCTAACAATTATCTATAATAATGTACATGAAAAATCTATGAATATGTGTTGATTTCCTTAATAAACGACCACTTGCCTGGCCCTCTTCTTCTGTTGTTACAATGGAATCTCCCATATGAACCTCTAGTCTTCTCTAAACTAATTAAACTTCTGAAAGTAGCTGGTCTTCCCGGCCACTTTGTCTGGATAATTGTGCAACTTATTTTGGTAACATCGCAAAATAGCCAAGAGCGTTTTCATTGAGGCTAATCATTTTCAGTCGTATTTCCTATTGCAACATTAAGAACACAATATTCGGCGAAGAGACTCTTTTCAACGAATTTATTATCAAGCTGTACAATCATATATACATACATAAAATAATAACAGTAGTATGAGATACAATTAAAATGTTTGTGATTATAATCATAGTTACATATCAAGTGTCAAATGGCAAAACAATTAATGCCATATATATTCTATTAAAAGAAGAAAACATAAAACTAATCACATGCTGGTAACTACATTCTACAGAAACGTATTATGTAATGTGAGGTATGATTTAGAAGAGGACGACTAAATCAAGATGATGGAGGTTTGAGTCACTTAGTCATTACGGTAAAGTTAAACTTTAACACCACTAACTACCAATCATCGAATGACCTCGAACGCACTAATCACGTGAAGGAAGCATTTTTGTGTATGGAATACACATACTTATGAAAAGATGCATAAAAACTGTAGAAAAGTGTTACGGAAGATACCTTCTTCTCAAATTTGATAAAAATAGCTCTCAGTTTTTGGTTGAAGTATCAACAGAGTACTATCCCATTGTGGGTAAAATATATTTTGATAAAGTCTCATAGTGTAATACAGTAATATTTACTGAGCAATAAATTGTGCTCGAAACGTCATCAGTAAACATTCAGATTTATGGGTTGAGGATAGAAGGCTTGGAGCCTATGTTAATCCCTTTCCAGTAAATTTCTGTGGTTGTCCAAACCCTTCTTGAACGAATCAGTTGAGGTTGCTGACACCACTTCTTCTGGGTGTCGGTATAACACTGTGAGACTTTATCAAAATAAATTTTACCCATAATGGAATTATACTCTACCACAGTGTACAATTTCTATTCTTACATCAACAGAGTAATTCAACCACACTCTATGCATGTAATTATTTAGGTCTTCTAATCCTAATCTTTCCTGAACCTAACCCTAACGTGAAAATATCCCAAAACTAAATGTAACCTAATTCTAACCAACTCTAATGTCACCCTTATCAGCTTAACCTAACCCTAACTTGTCCTTGGCTTAAAGTGTAATTTAATCTTTTTCAAACCTAAGCTGAAACTTGCCAGATATCCCATTTAATAGCATGATACTTCGATGGGCATATTTTATTGATGATGACAGCATTATTTGCCTGGTTTCATTGACTTACTCAGTGAGCATTTCAAGGTTATTGGTGCGATCGCACTCTATTGGTGGTTAGTGGTGCTTAAGTTTAACTCGGTCGTAATTACTAAGTTCCTGTACCAGGCTATCCCACCTTATAAACAGATGAGCAGGCAAACAAACATTTGAAGTAACCCACGATAAAGAGAGAAAAGTTTGCTTAGGAGGCAAAGTTTTCTTGACTTCTTCCTGTGAGGATGTTGCATCATCTGTTAGTGACAAACTATCCGCACTTTACATTAGCGCTGTCAAGGTTAAAATCCTGAAGGTAACAAACAAATACACTATTCATGAAGATTCTACTTGATATAGTCAAATATCCAGAGTTGCATTGTTCCAGTCGTTTGCGTTGTGAATTCACAGGCTTTGTTTTAAAATCGAAGACTACGCGACTAGTAAGTAAAAACTTACTAAAAATAGAGGTGACATCCACGATGAGGTACTTCTACATCAGGTCACTGTTGTCTTTGGTAGACAAAAGCCTACTCTTCCTTCATACGATGTCCAGATGATTCCTGTGGTGTAGCAGGTCCCTACTCAATTCAGCGACCACTCAGAAAGGGAAATTAAGTAGGTTGATTGATTAAATTCACATATGCAGAAACTGATACTGTTGGTTTATCATAAATGTTTGAAATTTTGAGTTGCTCTGACAATAGGTCTATCCACTGTTCATTGCCTTAATCAAATTCAATTCCGCAGTCGAATTTTTTATTTTGGTTTACTGAGGATTTGTTGTCCACATATGCACCAAGATCACTGCGCGTTTTGGAAATATAACGTTACTGATGATATGCGCCTTTCACATTCCCCTTTTGGTTTTACGTTGTGGGCATTAGTGAAATACCAACGTTTGAGTATTAGGATTCATAGTGAAATAATAAGGCTATCATGCACACCATAGGAATCTGATACAGTACCATTCAAAGGAGGATTCTGAATTTTCATTAACTTCAGATTATTGATCACCTAATTTTGGGGTTTTCGTGATCTACTGTGAATATGTCATTTACACTGGATTTACTTTCACCAGTCCTCACAGTATCTGGGAAAAATTCCATTTTTCTTTTGAAAACATCTGTTACATATTCTGCTATTTTGACTTCTGATTTCTGTTTTTGTTTACATTGAGTATTAAACACTCCATCGGGCTCAGATTTTTCAGCTCCTCTGAGTTTATCAGTCTATAAACCTCATCGCCCTAGAATCACGATTATATGGAGGTGAGGATAAACGCCATCACGCCTTAAATTTACCTCGTTTCTCTTTTGCTCGCCTTTCACTGGCTGTAACAGTGGTGGTCAATTTGATTTTCGATTTCCGAGAGGTAGGTAGTATGGAGTATGCTTATTTGTAGCATCGCTACGTGTGGTTTGGAAAGAACTGTGATGAATGTAAATGTGACATTTGACTACTGTGATGGCGTTTTGAGTCTATTTTACATCTACAAGGCTTGTTTATTCGTAAACTCTGTGGAGAATTGTTGGTAGCCTGGGTGTTTACCACCAAATACTAGCCCGTGGGTTTCAGTGCATTTATTCAGTTGTGGTCCAAATTTCTGGAGTCCTCTTTCATCGCGTAGCATCGTCTGAGAACAAGTATCTGGTTTGTTCTAAGCGAAGATTTGCATTTAGAGCGTATATTAGCCTCCAAAGGAAGATGCCACTTAGCACTTAAATTGGAGTGGACAGGAATTCGAGTTCTCACTGGTTTTCGCGAAGGCCAGGTTCGCTTTTCATTGGTGGTTTGACGAAGTAATCCTTTTTCTGATCAGTAAGTACCCCATCTTTCGCCCAAACTCTAGTTAATCTCAGCGTGAGTATATATGATGATGTCTATAGATCCGTTTTCATTTCCTTCGAAATAGTTGTGTCTGATCCTAACGGCTTCCTGTTTTTAACTACCTCAACGACATTCAAAAATTTTCGAATCATCTGTGGCTATTTCAACTTCAATGATAGCATCGTATAGATATCGTTTCATTATATTTAAAATATCCGTGGTTGAAAATACTCATTTCCAAATTTTTGTCAACGAAAACCATAAGTTGTTTCCTATGAGTACAATTCCAAGTCGAATAACAGCAGAGATTTTAATTTGAATCATAGCAAACGAATTAACCTTGTTAACTCTGGTGTGAGAATGTATGATTTCAACGTGCCGACTACTATATCTGATGAACAATAAACACACAGATGTCAAAAATATTCCACAACACATCTGGGAAGATACTGGTTGTGTCTCATTTAGAAAGCGTTATTTGTTGGCAAATATACTATATCACATAGAGAGCGCGCTGACAATATTTGAGACGCAGAGAATTACACAAGCATGCTCACTGGACGGTCGAGAAAACAAACTGTCACTGCACCAGCAAACGGAACTTTCGGGACCAGTGGCTTCATAACTACACGTAGTGTACCACGCAACTGATATTCAGGGAGTGAAAAGCAGACGAAGAATAAAAAGTGAGCACATTATATAACAGGAAACTCCACAAGCATTGGTAATTATGACACTAGCACATCACATTAATCTGCACCATCTCATAATGCACGCAACTTAATATACAACTTTTAATTGACAATAAAACAAGGTTGAAAAGCTTAAAATATCATGATTACGATAACAGACAAGTAAAATATAACATTGTTGGAGATGAATTGCGATAAGCGGCTGCCCGTCACATGCATAAAAAGAATTCCAAAATAAAAGAAAATAATCAGCAAACTCACACAGATAGATGAAAGACCTTACAATAAACTCCGATGTTTCTGTAATTTGTACAGTGTACGCTATCTTTGGATATACAACAAGACCGAAAGTGTAATAACAGTACTGTAGTCACCAAATGTTCACGAGATATTTCCGCTTAATTTACGTATAATTCATTTCCATTTGATTAAATCTCTCGCAAATGACACTCGATGAATGTACATCTTAATTGTGGAAATGTGGCTAATTGGTTTGACCATTCGACTTCCAAACAATGGGTTCCAGGTCAAAATCCAGCCTCATCTAATTCAGCCTAGGAAACTGAACAGTGTCATCAGTTCTCACACGGTAAGTGTAACATATAGCCTAGTACTGAGAATTTCAGTATCAACTAACTAGCTAACTAACATGTCAATTCCAGTTAAGTTACACTAAGTGCTTACAGACACTTAATCCATTTAGCTAATCAAATACTTCTTCCCGTGGAAAGGGAACGACAAGCATTAATATTCATTGAATTGAAGAAATTATTCACCGAGTCGCCACAACATTATAACATATATGAACATGGCAAAATAATTCAATTCTGCGCACATTTTACAGTGGCAAAAAGATGAGAATCGATAATACAGAATGAACAAAACACTCAAGTATAGGCAACTGATTTAAATGTACCTCAAATTCTTTTACACCTGCCTTGACTTTCCCCAGGTTTACCTTTATTCTCGCATCACTGTACAACCTGTACGAAAATTAGGAATAGTGAAACTTACATAAGATCCAAGTCAAGAACTATTTCATCCTTACGGATATTTTCATTCATATAAACCTTAATGCCACCGATTCGAGGAGGCTAGAATATGAAATAAGGAAGAGACAAATTTACGGTGTCCCCCAAATCAATAGTTGCGAAGCTGAAAGGCGTCAATGCAGCTGGTAAATTCTGAGAAACAATAGGTTCTATATTTTGGATGACGATGTCCCTTGCATATTGACTGATGGCCGGCCACATCCGTTTAATCACCTTCCAAAATAAAAAGTTTGATATTCTTACCTTGTTGAGCCACTCGGCTCGTTCAACATCTGGAAAGTAAACCTTAAAGTGGATTGTATGTAATGCCGACTGTTACGAGCCTACCCATGATGGAAGGTCCCTGACAGAAAAATTTTGAATGATGAATGCTTTTTCATCTTCCCCGATTGCTTTTAATGAACTGATCAACTTCGAGTTCTTATTTTTAGTGTGCCGTATTACGAAGTAGCCCAATGACCCCAGTAATACCCAGCTAACACTAAGTCGGAAGTACCCCACTCCATAAATAGATGCACACGTCAGCAAAAATTTAAAGTAATCCCACGATAAAGAGAGAAAAGTTTGCTTAGGAGGCAAAGTCTTCTTGACTTCTTCCTGTGAGGATGTTGCATCATCCATTAGTGACAAACTACCCGCACTTTACATTAGCGCTGTCAAGGTTAAAATCCTGAAGACAACAAACAAATCCATCATTCATGAAGATTCCAATTGAAAAGTTAGTAAAATAAGAAAGCCTACAATTTTCCTCTCTCAAATGTCTGAGTTGTAAATTCCCAAGCTTCAGGGGGATTTTCGCGAAGTGGAAACTAAGCGACTTGCACAGCTAATCTCCAGAGCAAGATACTTCAACATTAGGGCCGTATTATCTGCAGTCGGTGTGTATTTCTATCCTAACATCATATCTGATAGAAGAGTCCTAGATAATTCAAACCGTGTAGGAGGCTTCTACTAGTTTTTAGCTACGACTCGGAACGAAAATTAAGTATGTTTAGCAATTAAATCCACATTTGCAGAAAATGAACCTGTTAGTTTCTCAGAAAATGATAGCATATACTCTGGACTTCCTTCCTTAAGTTTCCCTAACATCCATACCTACTATTTTCGTGGCGAAAACTTCGTTTTCTTATGAAAACATGACGTAAAATATATACAATTTAGTTTACAGTAAACTCTGAGCCTACTAACACGTTATCAGTGATCTGTAGTAAACGTTTTATTACGGTAGTAATCAATCTTGAACTGTTTCATAGAATGCAGTTCGCAGTTGGACTCAACGTATGAAAACTGCCCAGTGTGGCTACAATGGCGTACATGTGAATCCTATCAGCTGCTCACCTTTCTTCATGTAGCATGGCTTACCTATATTCACACCGTACTACTAAAAGGCACTCTTGAGATGTAGTGAACATATACCATCAGGAGGGCCGAACAGGGACAGGCTTCGTCACCGTGTGTCATATGTATTCCATCAATTAATTGTGGTAGAAAGCAGACGTTCCACCACAACGCGAAAATATAGCAATAGTGAGTAATGATTGGAGTCACTAACAAAGGAAGCCGGCCGAGACAGGCGAGTAACACTCAGGTCTCTGATTTCAAGAGTCTTCGGATGTCATGAGCGCCATACCCACCTTGAGATAATGATTTGCAGGTTCGAAGATACTTGAATTTATCACCGCGTGGCCAAGATTAGGGACGATATTTAGAGACTCTGTGGTTTGTAGTCCTGTTGTTGTGGTTCGTTTTCGGCGGAGAAATAAATAGTTCTCGTATTGCCAATCAGTTTTCTCATATTCTCGCGTCGGATGTCGCACATAGCATTCTGAGGCACTGATTAGCCTTCTGGGCCCAGCGCTACGTTCAGGATCTCTTGCGATCTGGACTTTCGCAGTTTTTGATCTAACTGCCTTGTCAGTTTCTGATCTCCTGTAGATTTCAATTGCTGTTTCTCCACTGCAAACCGTCGAAAATTCCGGTTGGTCTCCAGCCCTGCTCCTTTGGATAAGTATTGCTCGGAACACACAATCTCGGAGTTCTCCGGTGACGTTCAGCGGTGCCTAGTCCAAGGAAGGGATGAGGCAGTTTGGAGGTGGACAATAAAGGGGGTTCTGACTATTTTTTTATTTTGATTACAGCTTGATGCCACACCGTATTTTCAGTACAAGTATGGAATTTTCACCATGGATATCGGTAGCCCAAATTTTGCAGGCCGACCATAGATATCGGGTGTGCGTCGGTAGGTGATCGAACCCCGGACCATGTGCATGGTCGGTGAGTGTCCTAACCACTGTGCTACCGACGCACACTCGCTTAGTGAGTGTGTCTGAGGTTGTCGTTGGTAAAACGGATTACTATGCACTTTCAACCAGAGAGAATCGCAAACGATCGTGCCCTCGCGATCTGAACATTCGAAAAAGGGATAAACTTGGGCACTGTGGTAGAAGATAATTCCATTGCGGATAAAATTTTATTTTGATAAGGTCACAGTGTTATACAGTAATATTTACTGATGATGTTTCGAGCACAATTTATTGCCCACAACCATATCAAGGTACTCACATAACTTTCCTACTTCGTTTATATACATGAGAAAAGTTTATCAGACATTAGAATAAGATCGGGACTTGCATGAAACAGAGTAATGATCCTCCTAATGGGGCGAATTCTTCACTACTGATGACCTCTGGTGTGATCTGAGCATCTTCTACCAGAACTCAAACAGATGCTAATATGCTGCCATTCCACTCCAAACACCAAACGTTTCCCTACATAGAAAGTCGTTTATAAAACGTAAGGATCGTAGGAAACTGAAGAGACTCTCGACAATTTACTTCAAACACCACGAATTCGGCACATCAGTACCTAATGCTCTTAGCCCTATCTCACAAGCTCAAGATTTGTGTATGTGGAACGAAGAACGCACCTCACTAGTCAGCCCTGATGGGGTTTATGCTCTCACAGAAATCCCAAAGAAGCGATTGAATCGCGAGAACTACAACATTTCTCTCCTCATCGACAAAGGTAGGCTATGTAATGGCTCTGCAGACATCTGTGGATTATTCAACAAAACATTTGCAGCTAACTACCTTAAGCCTACAATCCCATTATTCGGTATGCAGTCTTCTAATATGGCGCAACTCCCACCTTTACTCACATCAAAACAAATTAATACCGTTGAGTTCACTTATGCTAACACTGACCAAACCATTAGGACTCTCGAAAGCTCTAAAGGTTTTGGTACTGACAGTACATCGTCGTATTTCTATAAGTATGGTGGTTCTGACATTCCCATGCTACCGCTAAAAATCTTCACAATGCCCTTGACCTTGGCGGCCTGTTTGAACATTTTGGGCTACCATATTCCATGTACATTTTGCATCTATTTACTCATATTTTGTTGGTGTTTACATTTAAAATTATGCATTCTAATCGTATCATTCACTCTCGGGATTATACAAAATGCTTAAAACCTAAAAACTTTCATATTTGCAATAAACTCAAGAAAAAGCACCATGGTGGTTGGCAACGTGCTTTAAAGTCTACACCCATACATCAAACCACTGTTCCGGTTATCGTTAGTACCAACTGTCGGTCACTGCCTAACAAAATTCTGGATTTTCAGTCCCTGTTGTTATCCGAAACTTATCACAATACTGGTATTGTAACTCTACAAGAAACCTGGCTTCATGACTCATATGATGACAATATAGTATCTTTAAATGATTTTAATGTATTCCGACAAGACTGTGTTTGTTCCAAGAAAAAATGCGGCGGAGGTGTAGCTACATTTATTCACTCAAAATGGTCTATTTCTAACAAAGTTTGTTTCAAATTCTCGAATGACTACATTGATTGCATCACTGTCAGATGTCGCCCGAAACACTTGTCAAAGTACAAATTCATTTATATTTCTAATGTTTATGTCTCTCCTGGCTGTACCATATCGGATTTATCTATGTTCGCAGATGAATTCACCGCTTTTGCTGCAGCTTGCTTCGAGAACTCTTTATCAATAGTGACTGGCGATTTTAACTCATGTGATCACTCCTTCCTTATATCACTTGGCCATGACAATATTGTTAACTTTGCTACCCGTCTCGAAAAAACACTAGATCTAGTATTCATCAATGATGTTGGTATATATGAAGCTCGCAAACGTGCTCCTGTACTGAACTCTGATCACTGCATCATACGTGTACTGCCTAAAATATATCCCAAATCACACAAACGTGTCTTCTCTCACCTCTACAGTAAATTTCAACGGAGATGCTACTCACAAGACAATCTAAGCAAACTCAGATGCATGTCGATAGATACTAACTGGGACCTATTTACAGAACAAACATTAAATGACACAATCACAAACACCACAGATTATCTTAAATTCTGTTTCGAAATATGTTTTCCTAAAGAAACATTATTCACTCGATTTGACCGTTTCTCTTCTCCATATCTCAAAAAGCTCCGTAGAGATAAAGAACTGTTGTTCAAAACAAATGATAAGTCAGGTGTAAAAAAGCTGAACACTCTGATAAAACTCGAAATGCACAGACTAAATGTTTTATACAACCAAAGATTCTTGTCATGTAAAACCCCTTCTAGTTTATGGAAACTTTTTAAAGAAATAACTAGCGGTAAGCGGTGTACTTTTGTCCAATCTCTTAATGTTGATAATCTTAATAAGTCTTTCATACGCTCCTCTGTCGATATCCTTCCTAATGATACAAATCACATAGACAATAATTTTAGCGGTTTTAATACCCTTGATGTGCTTAAATGCCTCCGTTCTCTTAAGCCTTCCGAAAGCCTTGGTCCTGATGGCGTACCTGCCATTGTCCTCAGGAACTGTGCTGATATTTTGTGTTACCCTCTTACTAATGTTTTTAATGCTTCCTTTTCCAGTAATGTTCTACCTTCTGCATGGAAAAACATTAAAATTATCCCTATACCAAAACAATCTTCTGGTACCGATAATAAATTTAGGCCTATTGCAATTACTTCTCCTTTTTTAAAATTGATGGAAAAACTACTTTTACTTCGTCTTGAACCTTCATTGAAAGCTTTTAATGATCCTAAGCAATTTGCATATAAACATGGTAGAAGTACCCTGGATGCTGCGGTTGTCTTATATCATAGTGTTGTTTCTTGTTTAGACAAAGGTGCCAAATATGTTCGTGGTGCTTTCCTAGACTACACATCTGCATTTGACTCTGTACCTAGGGGCCTTTTATTAAATAAGCTCTCCTTGACGCACACAGCATCCTGGGCTAAGAGTTGGTTGCATTCTTATTTTTCTGATAGAATGCAATATACTGCATATAATGGCAAATCTTCTTCTGCTTTGCTTACAAAAGCCGGTGTTCCCCAAGGTGCCGTCCTCTCTCCTTTTCTTTTTTCTTTCTTCCTACACGACCTGCCACATTTAAACGAAACTAATTTTGTCAAATATGCTGATGATCTGATTGTATCACTGCCTATCACTTCCGAGTCTGACTGCTCCAAACTTAATAGCTTTCTGTTGGACATCAGCAAGTGGTCTAAGTCAAATGGTCTTATGTTAAATCCTTCCAAATGTCAGGCAGAATGAACCAGATAAAGTGACTGCCTGGTCACCTCTA